GCTATGAGTCCCAAACGACTCGATGGCACATAACATTCCTGTCAATGAAATGAAGGGTCCCTACTTCTCAGCTCCCTTTTCTCCACTTCTCATCTCTGGGAGGTGGTTGGTTTTAAAGCTGCTGGAATGTCAAGACTGTTTCTGAGTTCTGTGTGGTAACTGCGATGAATTTTCAAACTCAGCAGGAGTTGAATGCCAAAGGAGAGATGATTGGTGTCCACATCGGTGGATGGGAGGGATGGGGGATGGATGAAGGCACATTGAAGCTCTACCTCTTAGGACTCTGCCTTGGGCTGCCGATTTTTATTCTTCTTGGACTTGTCAGAACAGAACAAGGAAATATTCTATGGCTCAAAATCAGGGAAGGAGGGCATCAGGGATGTATTCTGTTTCTACCTTTTCAAACTGTATGTGGAACAGATCATCTGAGAGGCTGGGCTTTATAAGGAGGTTATCAGGACTGGAGGAAGACTCATCAACAACCTACGTGATGCAGATGATACAACTTTGCTCGCACAAACTGAGGAGGACCTGAAGTATTTACTGCAGAACGTCAAGGACTGAAATCTTCAATATGAGCTGAAGCTCAACATCAAGAAAACAAAGATTCTCACCACTGGGCCAACTGGCAGCACCATGATAGATGTTTCAGAGGGGCTGAGTTTGTTAACAATTTCAGCTTGCTTGGGTCCACAATCTTGGCACCAGCAGTGAGAAAATCAAAAGATTAATTGCTCTCAGGAAGGTTGTTGTGGAACCTCTTAAGAGCGCTGAAGAGCAAGGATGTCAGTATGGAGACTAAGGTATGCCTGATTTAAGCCATGATTTTGCAATTACTTGTTATGCATTAGCGAGCTGGACAATGACCAAAGATGAGAGAACTGATGCCTTTGAGTTGTGGTGCTGGAGAAGAGTATTGAACATACCACGGACCACCAAGAGAACAAACAGGTTTATCCTGGAGAAGGTGAAACCAGTCTGCTCCTTTGAGACAAGGATTTTGAAGCTCTATCTTACATACTTTGGGCACATGGCCAGGAGGGACCCAGTCCCTTGAGAAGGACATTACTTTTGGAAGGGTTGGGGGACAATGCAGGTGAGGAAGACCCCCAGATGAGATGGATTGACACAATGGGGTAATGGTGGTAGGTGTGTTGGAAACAGTGAGACTGGCTCAGGCTAGAGCAGGGTTCAGAGCTATTGCACAGAGGGTCAGTGTGAGTCGCAGGAGACTCGATGGCACAGGACAACAACTCCCATGTGAAGTTAGTAGACAGTAGATGTCACCTCACGCCATTCTTGCAACCTTCAATGAGATGGACGGGGACATGGCTGAAGCTATGATTAGGCGGATGGCACAGGACTTGGCCACACTGTGCTCTGTTCCACGTGGGATTTCTGTAAGAATCAACTCAATGACCCGTAACAACAAAACGGCTCCATTTCTGAATCCCATCATTCAAGGAATAAAACACCACCAATATTAAACAAATTCCTCCAGAAAACAGGAAACATTTTTCCTTTTTTTATTAATAATTTTAATGAGTATTTACAGAGACTTTGGATTTCCATTCATTCATTGTTGCACTTTTCTCCCTGCCCCCCTCCTCCAGTTCGTTCTTCTCTTTGAAAAGTAAAAGAAAAATTATTTCATTGTTATACAATCCCTCCCCCAAGTCCACTCCACTATGCAGCCTTCATTCTGGACTCCTGTCATGACAATAATACCTAATCATAGATCCCTTTTAAACAGTTCTCTCTTTCATCTGTTTTAATGCAGTATGCCTAATTAGTCTCCTCTTTTTCAGTCTCCCCCCAATCCTGCTGTCAGTCCTGTTTTACAACAGTGGCACTATGCAGTATTTGTCCTTCTGTGACTGAGATATTTCACTCAGCATGATGTCCTCTGGGGTCATAATTACATACTATTTTAAAGTTCAGAAAGTCACAAGGTTTCCTTTTAGAGGGTATGCTCAAGAGCAAAATCCCTCGATACAGGATGAAACCATCTGGGTTACTTCTCTAATTCTTGTTCAGATTCTTTTTTTTATTCGTACACTTTAAAAATTTCATATTAGACAATGGAACTGTCTCCTCTTCACTTTGAAAGTATGCTGTGATGTTTTCTTTATTAACAGTATTCACTGCAAGAACCTAACTTATAAAATGATTTCTGGAAAAAGTGCTCTCCCTAATTCATCACCTATTTTTTTCCCCAAATGTTCTCTCATAAGCAACAAGATACAATCAACCCCACATTCAACATATTCATGTTTGTAATTTTTTTTTCTTGTGTGCCGTTGAATCAGATCTGACTGGCACAGGAGGAGATTGACCCTTCTTCTTCAGCGAAGTATCTGGTGGATTCGAACCGTGCGCCTTCAGGATTGCAGCCCAGCTTCTTGCCACTAGACCACCAGAACTCCCTGTAATCTTATATACATTATTAGTTTAACATACTTTTCCTAAAATATTTTCAAGCATTTTATGGCAAGAATTCTTTTCTTCTTAGAGTACATTTTCTAGCTTATAAAATGGCACCTTTAAAAACATTTTTGCTCCATATTTTAATTACTTCAATGTGGTATAAATTCTGATTCTTGACAGATTTCACAATAAAAATATTTCAACGTTCCTTTCAAGTGTGTAGTTACTTGCTCGTATGTGATTCTCTGATATAAAATATTTCACCCTTCTAGGAAGGGCAGTTCCTTGAGAGGGACATCACGCTTGGGAAGGTGGCGGGGGTGGGGGGCAGTGAAGGAGAGGAAGACCTTCAAACAGATGGATTAGCAGAGTGACAACAGCAGTGAGCTCCACGGTGTCACAGACTGAGAGGCTGGCACAGGACAGGCCAGGGTTTAGATTTGTTGTTCACAGGGTCACAATAAGTCATACTTGACTGAACAGCACCTAACTACACCAACCATTCTGGGATAAAATGTTCACAAAACAATATTCATAGTGGGTGTCTTCGTTATACAACGAATGAGCTTTGATTTCTGGACCAAACCATTCATATATCTGCTGTACTAATGAGGCCTCTCTTGTATAGATTTTCTTCATGAACACTGACCTTATCACTCAAACGTTACCATATTTACAAGCTACCTCACACACTTCTCTCTCATTTGAATGAGAGCTTCTAACCAAAGTGAACATTTTATTCATTCATTAACTATATACAACACCTTGATAGTGACACTTTCTTCTATGCCTGTACTCCCAGCTCTGGTGGCCTCACAGCAAGAAGATGCAGTGCAGTGCAGAAGGCAAGTGGTTCAAATCCACCAGCTGCTCCGTGGGAGAAGGATGGGCAATCTCCTCCTGTGTGATTAACTGCCTCTGAAAACCCAGCAGAGGGTCAGCTATGGGTCGGTTCTGACTCAGTGGTACATGGGTCAGTTATAACCACCACCACAATTATATAGGAACTCTCTCTTATACACCTGCACTCTCCCAAGGTGGTATGATCTTAAACGCCCTATTTTTTGTGTCCTCACGTGGTGTCTCTGTTCTGTGAGTTCTCCGATGCGTGTAGAGGTGGGACCTGATGCTGAAGGCCTCCCCACACTCACCACATTCATAGCACTTCTCTTTTGTGTGGGTTCTCTGGTGCCGACTGAGGCCGGGCTTCCATGTGAAACCCTTCCCACACTCGCCACACACATAGGGGTTTTCACCCGTATGCGTTCTCTGGTGGATGATGAGGGGTGACTTTCGGCTGAAAGCCTTCCGGCAGTGGCCACATTCATAGGGCTTCTCCCCGGTGTGCGTCCTGCGGTGCACCACGAGCTGGGACTTCTGCGTGAACACCTTGCCGCAGTCGCTGCACCTATACGGCTTCTCCCCGGTGTGGGTCCGCTGGTGAATGGTCAGCAGGGACTTGGTGCTGAAGGCCTTTGGGCACCGGTCGCAGGGGTAGGGCTTCTCACCCGTGTGCGTCCTCTGGTGCACGACGAGCTGGGACTTCTGCGTGAACACCTTGCCGCAGTCGCTGCACCTATACGGCTTCTCCCCGGTGTGGGTCCGCTGGTGAATGGTCAGCAGGGACTTGGTGCTGAAGGCCTTTGGGCACCGGTCGCAGGGGTAGGGCTTCTCGCCCGTGTGCGTCCTCTGGTGAATGAGGAGCTGGGACCTGGTCCGGAAGGCTTTCTGACACTGGCTGCATCCGTGGGGCTTCTCGCCAGTGTGAATTCTCAGGTGCAGCACCAGCTCGGACTGGCGCACAAAGCCCTTCTGGCACTGGCTGCACTGGTAAGGCCTTTTCCCCGTGTGACTCTTCTGATGTAGCAGGAGCTCTGACCTCCTGGAGAACGCTTTTTGACAGTCTGTGCATGAGAAGGGCTTCTCCCCAGTGTGAGTTCTCTGGTGCTCGATGAGCTGCGACTTTCGAAAGAAGGCTTTCTGGCACTGGGCGCATTCGTTGGGCTTCTCTCCTCTATGCATCCTCTGGTGCAGTGTGAGATTAAACTTCAGAGAGAAGGTTTTCCCACACTCACTGCAACCGTAGGGTTTGGCGCCGGTATGAGTTCTTTTATGCTTAATGAGGTGTGGCTTGCAGATGAAGGTTCTATGGCATTCACTGCACCCATACTGTTTGTCTCTCGTGTGAGTTCTCCCATGTAAAACGAGACTGGATTTATGCAGGAAGGCTTTACCACACTGGCTGCATGCATACGGCTTTTCACCTGTATGGCGTCTCTTGTGGACAGAGAGCTGAGACTGACTGCTGAAGGCCTTCTGACACTCCCTGCATGCATACGGTTTCTCGCCCGTATGGGATCTCTGGTGTAAGGTGAGGTCTGCCTTCCGAGTAAAAGCTCTGGGGCATTCAGGGCACAGGTACATTTTCTCGCCCGTGTGAGTTCTCTGATGGACCATGAGTTGTGATTTCTGTGAGAACAGTTTTCCGCAGTTGTCACATCGATAGGGTTTCTCTCCTGTGTGAGTTTTCTGGTGCAAAAGGAGGTGACTCTTCCACATAAAGGCTTTTCTGCATTCAATGCACTGGTACAGTTTCTCTCTTGCGTGAACCCTCTGGTGCAGGAGGAGGTGGGACACATGGGTGAAGGGTTTCTGGCATTCAGTGCATTTGTATAATTTCTTGTCTGTGTGACTTCTACTGGAGTGTGGTTTCCTGGCGGCAGCTTTTCTAGAATCATCCTTCTTAGAGCAATTTGTTCTAGGATGAATCTTTTCAGAGGCAGTATGAAGAAGTGGTTTCTCAGGTACAGAAAACTCTTCTGCTTTCTTCTTTTTATCATTTTGGTTCTGGACTAGTAAATCTAAACTGTCTTGAAAAGTTTTTCTACGTGAATCAAATGCATCAAAACCTTTCCTTGGATGAATTCGTTTTCCAAAGACATCACACTTCTGGTGTCTCTTCTCCAGGTGAAGCTTGACAAGTTTTTCCTGATGGCAGCTTTTACTGATATTTACTTGCCGGGCTTCTTCTAGGAAGAAAGAAAACTTTGGATGATTAAGTGCAGAAAGGGGTGTGTATATGCTCATAACAAGTACAAAGGAAGGAAATTTTATTTCTATAGAATACAAAGCATTGACATTTTTAGACCAGAAAAGGCTACAGAGGGGCATAAAAATCATACCAAACATGAGTAGGAAGTAATTAGGACTATTTGTGTGGGAAGCCAAATATCAAATTTAATATTAATAATAAACCAAATGCTATTTTCAGGAGATGAGGGAGGTTTAATACAAGCTAGAATTCACCCTGTGGCACTAAGGTGTTCCTTAATTATTATAATTATTAATTATATTATCTATATAATAATTGTATTAATTATTATAATTAACAATTAATACATTGTTCTTAGTTTGTATTTACTGAAGCCCTCCCTCCTGAGATAAGCATAAGGTAAACAATAGACAGGAACTTGGCCTTATCTGCAAGACTTCCCATGATCCTTTGTTTTTGTTTTCTATTCCCTTGTGACTTTCCTTTGTTTACCTTCCTGATGATTCTCAATAAACACACAGAGAGGCGCGGCTTGAGACCTTCAGTCATGGAACTGCTGGCCCCCTGTCTTTACTCTCTCTTATCTCGTTCTTGGTAGTCTGTCTCAGTATTAATTATAAACATACTTTACCCTCGGTCTGCAACATATGTTAATGCATATTCCTCACCCTAGCTAAGATGTTGGGTGGAAGCAGGCCAGCAAGCGCAGCATTAGTAGACTAAGAGGGGAAAATACCAGAAAGAGGTTAAGTGAGAAAGCAAGATCCTGGTGCAGATTCCAGAGGTCTGATGCAGAGCTGAGAGACTGAAGGAGAATCCAAAACCTAAAACCCGAACTCATTACATCACATCTGTTCCAATCCACAGTGACTCACAGCAGAGGGCAGAGTAGAACTGCCCCCGAGGGTTTCCAAGGCTCCCAACCTCTACAACCTGGTCTTTGTCTCACCAAGCGGCTAGTGGGTTCAGCCTCTAACCTCATGGTTATAGTTGATCGCTTTAACCACAGTACCATCTGGGATCTCTGCAAGGGGCTCATTTCCTTCTAAATATCAAAGAGAAGTGTTTATATGAACAAAGTAATAAATGAAAGTGTGTGTGTGTGTGTGTGTGTGTGTGTGTGTGTGTGTGTGTCCCCATGTACCATCAAATCGGATCTGACCGGTACAGGAGGAGACTGCCCTTCCTTCTCCAGCAGAGCATCTGGTGGATTCGAACCACGTACCTCTGGGATTGCAGTGCAGCTTGAAAGTATTCTTAAAGACAAATCTAGGAAGCCCATGTCAGCTATTTAGGAGTTCTGGTGGCTGTTCTATATTGTGTTGTGCTACTGACAAAAAGGTCATGTGTCCCCAGTGGTTGAAACCACTGTGGCTCCTTTGGAAGAAGAAAGACGGGCAGTCTTCTTCCTATTAAGACTCACAGCCTCCAAAACCCAACAGAAGGGTCGCTACTGAAGAACCGACTTGTTGGCAGTGAGCAGTATCAAGCCGAAGGATTTTTTAAATATAATTTTATTATTATTTTGTGTGTGTACTGTCAAATCACATCTGACTGGTACAAGAGAAGATTGTTCCTCCTTCTCCAGCAGAGCATCTGGTGGATTTGAACTGTGCACCGCTGGGACTGTAGTGCAGGCTGAAGGATTTTTAAGTAAAATTCTAGACATAATCCCTCAAGGCTTCTAAACCCTTCCACTCTCATCTATCTTTCTAGTTTTTACAATCACTCACCTCAGGCTACACTCACTGTAGGGAGCTCTGGTGGCCTAGTGGTTAAGAAAGTGTGCTGCCAGCCCAAAGGCACGCGGTTCAAATCCAGAAAGACGGTCAATCATGTTCTGTGTAATTAACTGCCTCTGAAAACCTACTGGAGGGTCTGCTAGGGGTTGGGTCTGACTCTATAGCACACACTCGCAGTGCTGACTGTAGATTATTATGACCTAGAAATATTGTAGACTGCTTCTAGCACGAATGCCTGACAACCAGCACATGGGTGGAACCTGGGACTGAGGTTCTTCAGAGCCTCTGAAAACCTGGGAGAAGTCTGCCTTAGACTTTGTCTCAGCGATGTGAAAACTGGTCATTTGGGAAGTAAGAGCATGAAACAGAGACCATTCCTTATAAGCCCCCAGTTCACAAATCATTAAACACTTCCAGGACCTACAATTTACAGCCGCTAACAGAGTGGCATGGTCCATAGGGATCTGTGCTGCTAAGCCAAAGACAGCACCACTGTGATGGTTCAAATCCACCAGCGGCCCCTCAGGAGAAAGACAAATAATCTCCCCCTCTCTTCCACCTGTCCCCCTGCCCCTCAATGAAATTCCACAGCAATGAGGGTTTGAGAGAAAGAATAAAGAAAATAAGGCATTCTCCCATCAACAAACGAATGGATAGAGAAGCTGTGGTATATTCACACAATAGAATACTACGCTGCATTGAAAAACAAGGAACTCATGAAACATTATTCAAAATGGGTGAGCCTGCAGGACATTATGCTGAGTGAAATATCTCAGTCACAAAAGGACAAATATTGCATAGGGCCACTGTTGTAAAACAGTGACATCAGGGTTGAGGGAAGACAGAGGAGGGGAGGAATGAGGTATACTGCATTGAAGCAGATGAGAGAGAGAACTGTTTAAAAGGGATATATGAATGGGGTATTCTTTTTTTTTTTTCATCGTCCAGCTGCTGCTATCTGAAGCAGAAGTTTTATTGCGAGCCCTTGGAAATATTTTTAACTTTTTACTGTGATTTCAGTGAAAGTTTACAGAACAAATTGGTTTTCTGTTCAACAATTCATGTGCGTTTTGTTTCAGAACATTGATTCCCATCTTCACCACGTAACAGAACTCTTCCGACTGCCTTCCATGCAAACACTGCCCTTCTCATTTCATCTACGGAGTCCATACTTCTCTGTTATTATTGATTTTATTATAGCTTGTCTGATGGTTGCCTGTGATGGGGTATTCTTGTCATTACAGAAGTCCAGAGTGAAGGCTGCACAGTGGAGTGCACTTTGGGGGAGGGATTACATAACAATGAAAAGGTTTTTCATTTACTTTTCAAGAAGAGTGAATTGGGGCAAGGGGGTGGGCAGGGAGAAAAGTGCAACAATGAATGACTGGAAACCCCAAGTCTGTGTAAACTTTCATTAAAATCAACAAAATAAAATATAAAGAAAGAAAACAAGGCATTCTGGTGGTTTAGTCCCTGGGGACTGCATGGCCAACCCAAAGGCCACACCTCACTGGGCCTTGGAATCCACCATCTGCTCCAAGGAAGAAAAAGAGACAATTTCCTCCCTCACAGTTGGAAACCTTGGAAAGCCAAAGGAGAGTCAGTTATGAGCTGGTTCTGACTGGACAGAAATGAGAGAGAGAGATAGAGATATGTAGAGATAGTTGGGGAGAGAGAGAGGGAGAGAAGGAGAGAGAGAGAGAGAGAGAGAGAGAATATGAGAAAATAAAGACAAGATACATGAAAAATAACAAATTACAACATGCCAGTGGGGGAAGAATCTACAAATGCCAGAAACTCACCATGCATCCCACAGGAGAGTGGTTCTTACCTACTGAGAGCAAGTTGTTGTAATTTTCCAACATCACTTCCCAGTACATGTTCTTCTGAGCAAGATCCAGGAGCTGCCACTCCTCCCAGGTAAAGTCCACGGCCACGTCCTTAAATAAAAATGTTACCTGCAACGGCACACAGTCTTGTTTCATTTCAACAAAGTGATATTCGTCCAGCGGTGTGGAAAATGCGCGAGCAAACATGGCACCATTATTTTCATAACAAGACATTTTATGTACAATGTTTGGTGAATCTAGTTTATGGAAGAAACAGAAAAGTTTACGTAAATATTCTGCTGATCTACGAAACGAGAGCTGAGCACCTGCAGGCTGAGGCTTCCCGGGGGCTGGTAGGTGCTGTCAAGTCAACTAAGACTCACAGCAACGCCGCGGACAGTTCGAAATCCTGGCCTAGCCTGCACCGTCCTTATGGTCTCTGTCATGCTGTCAATCTGTCTCATCAAGAATCTTTCTCTTTCACTAACTCTCTACTTTTTCCTAATGTCTTTTCTTTTTCAACTGGAAGAGTGGCAGATAATCAGGAGAGTGAAAAGAGTTCGATAGCTCCTGTCTGAGCCAGACAGAGGCCAAGGCCAAGAGCCAGGGAAAAGCTGACCTTCAGGAATGGCCGAGAAGAGGATGTTCTGACTGAACTGTGCCCTGAATCGTTCCTGATCCTGAATTGTATGTTACTTCTCTAATACACCTGAGAATTCTGAGTATTGTCTGTGAGTTCTGTGTGGCCATGGCAACAATTCTGGGGTCTGGTGGAAAAGCAGTGATTGCTGAGGGAGAAATGATTGGTGTCGGAAGAGGAAGCACAGGGTTAGGGCGCGGGAAGGTGGGTGTTGCTTACAGGAACTGGTCCTGAGCGGTCAATGCTGATGGGAATCCTCCTTCCCTCCTGTGAGCCTGGAGGTCAGTTGCTGCTGCCTCACGTTCACGTCATTGTTACGGGAAAGGAAGTTGTTCTTAGTGTGGGAATTCCCTGTAGAAGTGGCCTTTCTTTAATGGCTGAAAGGTAAGAAGCTGAGCTGCCAACCCAAAGGAACGCAGTTCAAATCCAACAGCTGCCCCGCGGGAGAATGATGAGCAATGTCCTCCCAGGTGACTGACAATCTCTGAAAACCCACGGGAGGGTGAGTTACGGGTCAGAGCCACTCAACGGTACACGACAACAACCACAATACTGTGAGAAGGAAAAGCCATAGAAAACCTGGAGCAAACACTACATTTAGTATAAAGTCGCTGAAAAACACCATCAGAACCAGAAAGCTCCGGTGGCACAGTTTGTAGGGAGATGAACTGCTAACCCCAAGGCAGTTCCTCTCTGTGGGTTCGAATCCAGCTCTGGAGGACACAGTGCAATTTACAGGCTGGAGGGTCAGCTGTGGGGCAGTTCCAGAGACCAGAATAAGAGATGGACGCCTGTTACTATAATGTCTACTGAACACGGCACTGAAGCTCCTCGCCACTGCAACTGGACAAGAGAAGGCAGTGAAAGGTGTAAGAACGGGAAGAAATCAACCACTCACACCTTTGACAAGGGAGGTAGGGTGGGACCGGAGAGAAGGGAATTGATATGGGGGTTTATTTTGTAAGAAAAACCAATAGCCTTTGAACTGGATGTTGTGCGTGGTAATTGAGGGCTGGGGAGACATCAAAAGTTGGATGCTGGAGGAGAAGACTGCCTTGTTTTTTTATTATTATTTGTGTGTGTGTGTGTACTGTCAAATCGGATCTGACAGGTACAGGAGGAGATTGTCCCTCCTTCTCCAGCAGAGCATCTGGTGGATTTGAACCGCGTACCTCTGGGATTGTAGTGCATCTTCTTGCTACTAGGCCACCAGACCTCAAGATTGCCTTAATTTTTATAACTGTACTATAGTTGCGTTAGATACTACATGAAGTTGTAATAGCCGTATTAGCTCTGTATAGGCTATATAGGCTCTGGCTCCATGGTTTGACAAGGCCAAAAACTCAACTCAACTCACTGTTGTGGAGTCAAAACCAACCCACAGCTGACCCTCGAGTGGCTTTTCAGAGGCTGTAAATCGCAGGGGAAGAGAGTGCATAACTTTCTCCCACAGAGCAGCTGGTGGATTTGAACCATCTGCCTTTGGGTTGGGAGCTCAACTCCTTACCCACTGGGCCGGCAGAGCCCCCAGCCAGGCTCAGCTCTCTCAGGTACCCACTCCTCCAGCGTGGCCCAGCAGCTTCTGCCGCTCACGGTGGCTGCGGCCTCCTCTCCTGCTGTCACATGGCCTTGTGCAGGCTCTTCGATGGCCCCTCTCTCTCTCGTTTCAGAAGGGATCTCAGGTCCCAATAATATGCTGCACTCTCTGCTTCCTCTTTCTTTCTTTTAATTTTATTTTACTATTTTGTGTGTGTGTGTATCGTCAAAGTGGCTCTGACTGGTTCAGGAGGAGATTGCCCTTCCTTCTCCAGCAGAGCATCTGGTGGATTTGAACCATGCACCTCTGGGATTGCAGTGCAGCTTCTTGCCCTGCTTCCTCTTTCTTAATGGTCACAAGATACCTGCACTCTAGGTCTTCCATGGCTCAACTTAAGTCCGACGGATGACAAAACCAACCAGCATTTTACACACCTAAATGGTGCCATCTACTTTATCTACATGAACAAGCTATCTGAGCCCTTGATGGGCAAAAAAAAAAAACAACCAAAAAAACCCCTTCCCATTTGTATCGCATCTCAACGTCAAGAAAATAAAGAAGCTACCCTCTGGACCGACAGGCAACACCACGAAAGCTGGAGGGGAGATTGAGACTGTCAGTGACTTCATCTTATTTGGCTGCATAATCGATACACTTGGCACCAGCAGGCAGGAGATCAGATGTTTCGCATTGGTAAAGTGTGTTACTCAGGGACCTTTACAAATTATTGAAGATTTCCAATTTTGCCAACACCATTTGTTACATGAGGCTGACAT